TCGATTCTAAGATTCAATCCAAGTACGTACTAAACTTAATCAAAACGAAATTTAGAACTAGGTGTATTAATAATATCTCCAGAGAATAAACGAGAGAAAACAGCCAAGAAACGGCCACTCCTAGAGAGTCTTGAGGAACCAGAAAAAAACAGCCAAGAAACGGCCACACCTAGAGAGTCTTGAGGAACTCAAAAGGAGGGAGAGAAGAATAACCGCGCCCACAATATATATGAGTGGAATAAACAACACTATAACTCCCACCGCGGTAATGTCTGGCAATTATTTTACCCTTCGCATGCGGGAAAACGTTCCCACCGCCACTAGTGAGTCTCCCACTCCCGCTAATGGCGCCGCGACCCACAGGGCTTCAGGGCTTTAGGGTTTTACAAACCCCGCTACAATCTCATCCCTTCATCCTATTCAATTCCCAGATTCTGCCGTAAGTAAGTAATACAGATGTAAGCAGGAGTTCCCAGGATGACCATAGGTCGAGCGTAGAACACTCCCCACACCACTCAAGACATGGGTGACCTTGCATCACTGTATCCTGCGCTTGCAGCACCACCATTTCAGAAAATCAACTTCAATGTGTCCCGGTAGGCAGAATGTCAAAACCTTCGTAATAACAACTAACCGCTCTCCGTGGTTGACTATCTGCATACTTGGTTCTCACTCAAAAGACTTGATGAATCTATCGATGCAACTATCCGGATGTAGTTCTATTTTCCTCTCCTAATGCCAGTAGAACGAAAATAACCTGGAGTCAAAACATCCCAACATCGCCAACAACAGAAACAGTTCCAAGAATCTACTATGTAGGGAACTCTCAAGGAAAGGAGTGAAATAACCCACCAAAATTCGAGAAATCTACCACATGTCAAACTAAAGGACACAATCTAAGTGGCTAAAAACTGGGACGGAAGAATAGACCTTAGGGTTACCCTCTCATCATCACTAACCAAAACACTGTGAAGAGCCTTTGTTGCCTCGACGGGTTTCCCACCACGCACCCAATGGATACAATTCTAGTTTGCTCTTCACCGGGTCTCTCATATCATCCCAACCCCGTGGGTTTCACCCTAAACCACTACAAACATTCCCCGGTGCTTAAGGACATCAGGTAACTATGATATCTCGATCAATTATAAGGAATCATTACCAACAGACAAAAACCATCAAATTACCTCATGAATAAACAGAGCGTAGGGGACCAAAGCAACAACCAAATTACATGAACCAGAACGTGAAGTAAATGAACAGCAAACTGCCTTGCGACGAAAATAGGTCAAACGAGACTTGCTGAAGCCCTTGGACAAGCCGGAGTGCTGCCACCGCAACCGCACGCTCTCCCACTGCGTCCAGATACACCGCTCCGCCTTCCATGCTTCGCTAGTGATCGAGGCAATCCGAATGATGTGTCGTGAATTACAGGGCGCGGCCTTTGGATGGTAAGAAAGGAGCCTCCCCTTTCCAGCAGAGGGCTTGAGGGGAAGGCGTCTCCTCTGGTATCAAAGTCCTGTAAGGTATGTGGGTTGGTATGGAGGTCAGGTACGGAGCTGCCAGGGTGCTATGGCGTAAGAGTGCATAACACTCCCTACCCACTCAAGGGTACGCCAGGGCACTGTCGCCATAGCTCTCACACAGCTATGGTGCCTGGCAGGGTAGGCGCCTCGTGAAAAGATTCAGCATCGGCATACCCGACGTTGCATCCTACACAGCCGCTAACGACGACCGGGCGCCGCCACCGCCGCTGCCGCCACTTCGTTAGCGCACATTTCGCGCGGCCCCCCATGCCTCCATTCGTTTTCCAAAACGAACAGGTAGGAACAACGAGAAGAATACAGAAAGGAAGAGGAAAGAAATAAGAAAAGAAGAAAGAAAAGAAAAGAAAAGAAAAAAAAGAAGGAGACTTACCTGACTGCGGCTGTCCGTTTAAAACGGCGCCGTCGGAAGTGTGTTGGGGACTAAGTGCCCCAGTCACATCTTACATCGCCAACTGGCGCCTCGATCTTAAGTTTCGTC